TGTTACCAATATTTCAAATGCTAGCAAGAAGTCACCTATGGTGGACAAGTTTCAGCAGAACTTCCACACTCACGCAGAGTAGGAGAAAGTCCTAGCGATCTGAAACTTAACCAGTAGATTTCTTATGAATAACAATAAAACCATGCTTGGCTTTGGTTTCAGCCCTGGCATTCCTCATGGAAGGGGGCAAGGATCCTACTGCCCTCATTGAAAAACCACTACAACTTATGAATATATACCAAATTGAGGGTCCTATTAGCATACCCATGAGTTGAAATAAGAGATGGCACTAAGAATGGTGGTAAGGGTTTTGTGCCCCTATCCCCAGAGTATTTTAAGGAAAGGGAACAACCTTTATCAAATCCTCCTGGGGTAAGTGATGTTGCTTTAGATAGAGTTCACAAAGCATCTTCATACAAACTGACTGCATCCTCAGAGAAACACTGCCTGCCTGGAAGTAGGTGCCCTTGTAAGGACAGTGAAGCTGAGGCACGTGGAGAATGTCAGTGCTGCATTCAGGAAGAACCAACTTCTAAGTCTAAGAGCTAAGATGAATTCAGTCTTTCTGCTCCCAAGTCAATTTGGCTTGTCAGATGATAGCTTGAGATAGGATTTAGAGACCCAGCAGAGAGTGGAGACAGCTTGGTTAAGATCCTCCTTTGTTCTTATTTCCATTTCTTCTCCAGACCATGTGCTTCAAATTCCAAGGACATCAGTTGTTGCTTTTGATGTTTCTTGATCAATTTGAGCTTTCATCTTATCTCTCCTATGTCAGTCTTGCCCAGTTCTACCTGTTTCATTGTTTCCCCCAGCTTCTGATGTGCTTTTCTTTCATCCATGCCTTCATCTGTTTTGTTGTAGGTAACTTGATGATGTTACTAAAGGTTTGTGGGTTTATTCCATCCACACTGGGTCTCACTGTTCCTTGACTGTGTTCATTTTTCTTTGAAGCAATTGTGAGTGCTAATACATAAAATGATACTGAAGATGAGATAATATTTTCTTTATAGACTGCACTAAATTCCAGTCAGATCAAGTCATTCACTCTAAAAAGTACAACCATTGCAGCCCCAGAAGTAAGGACGTATAATCTTGAGGTGCCTCCTAATCCTGACCCCAAGACAAGGAACAGACGAAGAAAAGTATGTGGTTTGAACACATAGGAGTTTAAAGTTCTGTCTAGCCAAAACTCTGTTTTAAGCAAGCTGGAAAGACAGTGGCTGGCTGGGAAACTGCTGAAGGGTTAACATTTGTCCTATGAAAAGAACTACAAAAAGACCATGATAATTCAAACACCAATGAAAAATAGACAAAGGAAAACTACAGTGAGCCAATAAGTGTATGAAAAGATGTTTAACTTCTGGAAGAATCCAAGTAATGCAAATAAAACAGATCAGTTTTTAATCTATTAGATGGTTAAAGATTAAGAAAAGGTCAACACGTCCCAATATTGACACTGGGTGGGAGGGCAAGCACCCTTGTACTCTGCTGGTGTTCATGCAAATTGCAGTGGCTTTTCTGCTGGGCAGTTCAGCAGCATGCATTGCAATTTAAAATATGCAGACACTCTGACCCAGTGAACTGTGGGTATAAACACACTCTAGTTGCCTCAAAATTACAAGCAGTTAGTTCTAAGACTGCTGGGATGAGGACTATACTATTCGATCCATGTAAGACTTTCATTGTTCACATTTCAGAGGTGTTCTTATTACTATTTATAGGTAGACAATAAATAAAAAGAACAAATTACTTAATAGAAAGCAAAATCAGTAAAGAAAAGGAGCAGATTTGCAGTGAACCAGTGCACCTGTTTGCATATCCCACTTAGTACTGTAGGGGAGCGACCTGAGTATGTCCTAAAGAGGACTCATTCTTCTCCCTTTCAAAATTACCCAGATCCATATCTGTGTCACTGGGCATTGCACGCTGAGGATCTAATGTCGTCGGCATGTGTCTGGTCTCTGCAGGTTTACCATCACATTAAGTGCAGTGTGACTTGGTTGTCTCTTCGTAGCTTTTCTTGGCCCCCCTTGTTCTTGCTGGTCCAGCTTTCAACTAGCAGCTTTGGGACAACCCTGGGGCAGTCCCAGGGTTAGGCTTGACATAGGAACAGCTTTTGAGGCAAAAGAGTGTGACAAGCAAACATCATATGGTGTCTTCCCAGGCTTCTTTCCCTGCCCAGATATGCCCTGCTCTGCTCCTTGGGCCAGCTCTGCCCATCGCTGCTTTCTGCTGGCCCCCCGGTTCCCTCTGCTCACACTGATAACACTATTGCTCCGCTGCTTCACCTTTGCTGTGTTTCCTTCCAGATTCGGTGCCCCTTGACCTGCTTTACAGCTCTTGTAGGAGGTGCCCAGCACAGGGTCCCATGTCCAAGGGATACACACCACCCCTCACCCTCTATGGCAGTGGTTCTCAGCCTTCCTAATGCTACGACCCTTTAATACTCTTCATGTTGTGGTGATCCCCCAACCATAAAATTATTCTCATTGCTACTTCATAACTGTAATTTTGCTACTGTTATGAATTGGGTGACTCCTGTGAAAGGGTTTGACCCCCAAAGGGTCACCGGTTGAGAACTACTGCTCTCTGGCTTTTGTTGATCCGGAAACCCTAAAATCCTCTGTGAGACTGCTCGCTTTTATTGAAACACTTCTCAACTTCGGGGCATGGCTTTCATAAACTAGTCAATCACTTATGAGGAAATTAAATGAAACAGTCCTATTGGACAGATTTGCGAGCCTCTTGCTGTGGATAGCAAACCAACCAATCTGTTCAAGCTGCTTAAACAGTTAGTAAACCCACCAGCCCTTTAACAGACTGTGGTTCAACCAATCATTTTGGGTCAATTTTCAACCCACGGCCAGAAAGGCCACATAAAAGAAATGACATTATCCCGCACCCAGCAGTTTCATTTCTAGGAATTCCTAGTTTGCCATTATAAAAACTAGTTGACTTTGCCTACTAATGTCGCAAACACTTAAGCATATTCGTTCTTTGGTATCAAAGTGTCTCTCATCTCGGGCTCCAGAACATGTAATGAAGGTTTGGAATAATGCTTCCAGAATCATGAGACCAATGCCGTGGATTTTAATGTTCTTTTGTATTTTCACTCATGGCATCTGTGTGTATTTGTGTGTTTATATATTCCAAGTGAATATACATTTTGAATATTCTGGAAACTCAAATGAATTTTGCAAAGGGAAAAGTACATAATGCTGTTCAGAAGGTTTGGTAGGTAGAGAGTGGGAAAACAAGGGTCCGTCCAGGAGTACGTGAAGGGTATCCTTACTCTGTAACATATACCTAACCAGGGACCCAAGTACACAGCACACCCTCCCAAAATCTTGTTACAAAGGAAAGGGAAATCTGCCCATGCTTTCTAGGAGAGCCATGCCCTTGAGTTAGCTGTGATCAAATAACTGGGTGGAGCTGAGTCACTTCTGTTTCTGCACCTGGTCCAGCTGCAGCCTCTTTGCATATATCTGTTTGCTGTGTTGGCTGAAGCAAGGTCATAGGCTTGAGCTCTCATTTCGCTTCCTTGTACTAGACAATTTCTTCCATAGTATGGTCTTACCTCATGGAGAACTGAGCTGACTTGGCTCCAGGCCAATCCCATAAAACCTGAAGACCTTGTTCTAATTGGAACAAAGGGTGGCTTTTTTTTTAAGTACTTGTATGTAGAGTTTCCAGTTGTTTGTTTTGTTTTCTTCCTACTGTATCTTAACTGTTCAAATCGGTATTTCTCAAAGGCATTGACAGCAGGGTGTTATAATTTTTTCCTTGCCATCCTTTTTCCATTCTTAACACAGTAATAGCAGCAGTATTAGTAGACATAGACAAAAAATGATGAAATAAATAAAATCACTGAACCTCTAAGGTCTTCTCAGATGACCTTTATATGTGAAAAAAATGCAGAACTGCTTTGCATGACTCTAAAGGTGTGACAGAGGTGGGGGCCGGTGGATCTCGCCCTACACCAGAGGCCAAGCAGCATTTATTCGTTCTCTCCCTGTCAGTAACTCCAAACAGCAGAGAGGCTGCTCTGGAATTTGAGCTGAACAGGGACTTCCTTTTCTTCAGAACAGCCTCAACAACAGACACCTGTATACATCTTGCCTATTTTTGAATGAGTTGTTTGGCCCCTTCGGTGAGCTCTTTCCTCTTTGATGCTGAATTGTGAGACTTGCTTGACAAATTTGGCTCGACTGTCCTGTGGGACTGGAATCCTGCTTCTGTAATGGTTTCTTGGTTTGTGTGAGTTGTTGAGACTCCATGAAGGCTCCTTCCGTGAATATTCTGTTTCACCTGCCCAGGGCAGGTGGGATGGTGGTCAGTGGGCTCTTTCTTCTCTCCAGTTTAGACCTAACCTTGGAAAGTTATAGGAGGGCTTTGGTTGTGGCAGAGGATTAACGTGCTGGGCAGCCAACTCTAGAAGATTGGAGACGTGAATACACTCAGAGGCTCTGTGGTCTTATTTAAAATAACGAGCCATTGACAGTCCTGGGGAGCACAGTTTGACTTGACACACATTGGGGGCTCCATGAGTTGGAGCCCACTTGCCAGTAATGGGATGTGCCCATTTTGGAAAGATAGTGTCGACAGTGTTGCTATTCCAGTAATTTCCAGTACCGATTTGAATGAATTTGCTATAAGTGTATCAATGTGCCGTGGTATGCTAGAATTAAGTAAGCATATTAAGTGGTTTGCAGTGGCCGGTTTAGATGGCTCATTGTGCCTTAAACCACATAGCTTCTCTGACTCAGACTACCATGGTCTTTTATTAAGTGACCACCAATACATGTGATTTTTAACTGGGATTAATGTCTGCCACACACCTCAAGATACAAGATACAAATTTGTCAGTAATATAACCTGGCTGAAAAATTGTATGCCCTCAAGGGTGAGGTAATGGAGGAATCAAGTGTTGGGGTAAAGTGTTACTTTTATGAAATGAGTACGACGTGTTCTAAACATTTGTATGGCTTTGTCTTTTATAGACGGAAATCGCCAAGAGATTGAATACGATTTGTGCACAAGTCATCCCATTTCTGTCTCAGGAAGTAAGTAAAACTGTTCAGCTGTTAAAGTGCAATTATGTTGCTTCTCTGTTTGCAAATTAGCTAGTTTTAAAGATGTTAATTTTATCACAAGGGACAAGTGTGAAGAACATCTGTTACAGCTGAAGTGTGCAAACCCCCTGCTATTCCATCTAACAGATCTGAGGGCACATTGCGGAAGTGGTGACAATAGCTCAACCTCAAATTAAATTTTTTTTCCTGTGGAAAACTGAAAAATGGCTATCAAAGAAAATGCATTCACTTTCTTTGAGAAATGGTAGACTCTTGAGATCAGCTGATGACTCAGGTGTCTCCCCTATATTAACCATAAGTTTATCTTATGCTGAATTTTAAAAACGGTTCTATCCGGCTAGATTTTACCTGTGAAAGCAAGTATTTCCTTTGTGCGTATCTATCGAGTTGAGTTGGCATTATGTGAAAGGAGCACTGTCCACAGAAGGGGTGGATGACGGTAATCCGAAAGCTAAAGTAAATATTTCTAGTTGATGGAAGATTTATATTCTGATTTGTCTGATAATTTGCTGTACTATTTGGATATAGGCAAATAAATAAAATGTGTGTGCTCCAGATGAATGTATCCTGAGGAGAGTGGACGCTTATTGGGTCACGAGACAGACTATTGGGTATCTGTTCTAGTTGGAAGGTGCTCCGGTGGCACAGTAGTTTAAGCACAAGACTGTTAACTGAAAGGTTGAGGGTGCAAATCCACTACCTGCTCTGAGGGAGAAAGATGAGGCAGTCTGCTCCAGTAAAGATTTATAGTCTTGGAGCAGTTCTGGATCCTACTGGCTTCCTGTGAGTTGGAATCACTTTAACAGCACTCTGTGTGTGTTAGTTGGCCTCTGCTCTGCCGGCCTCAACACCTTTGCTGTGTGTCAGTCTCCTCCAACATAACATTTGTCTACTAATGTTACGGTGTAGACCAGGGGTCCTCACACTTTTTAAACAGGGGGCCAGTTCACTGTCCCTCAGACCCGTTGGAGGGCCAGACTGTAGTTTTTTAAAAAACTATGAACAAGTTCCTATGCATACTGCACATATCTTATTTTGAAGTAAAAAACAAAACGGCAAAAACACCTGGTGGCCTGGATAAATATCCTCGGCGGGCCGCAGTTTGAGGACCCCTGGTATAGACTTTAGGCCTTTTGGAAATGGTCATTTGCTAGATTTCAGTAATTCTAGTTTCCATATGAGTCCCAAATGAACACGTGGTGTTGTTTTTGACAGTGGTTGAGTTGAGGCGAAGAGTGCAATGTGTTTCCAGCCTGTAAGGGAGCGTGGGGTCCTCCTTTTCCCTTGGAAGGCTGACACCTCAAAAGGTTAAAGGAGGAGAGGGCTTCACAGCGTTGCTAGAAACTACTGGAGGGCTAATAGTTGTTGATCACAAAAGTGGTTGCAGATCGATTGCGTAAGCTTTACATATTGAAATGGGTGTTTTAAAGTTCTTGTCCACTTCATTTGCCCAAACATTTACAACCCCTTCTGACAATCAACCAGTGATCTCCTAAATTCCATATTGCTTATTTCCCAAGGCTGCAGTTACTACTGTGGATGTGTTTTGGGCCTTTCTTCTGTTCTCAGTCTAACACGACCAACAGAGTTGTAAGTGGTGACTGCTGTTGGTTAGAAATAAAGCATCGTCTCTGTTTCCCTTTCCTGTTGCACTTGGCTTCTTTGGAATATGTGTGGTCGAGAAACTGTGTCTTCAAGCCCTTTAACTTGTGTGGTGTGGAGAATTTGTCTGGTTGCTCCTGTGATTTAAGTAACCCACAAGTGATACTCTTGGCTGCCTTGCTTACTAACATTTCTCCTTCTCCTTGTTTCCAAAGCATCAACAACAGGTGGCCCAGGCCGTGGAACGTGCCAAGCAGGTGACCATGGCAGAGTTGAATGCCATCATCGGGGTACGTGGCCTACCAGGTCTACCTCCTACAGTGTGTATAACCAGCTTTCCTTTTTTATTAATTTCATGACTTAATATATGTATATGTATGATTTTGTGTAGGTTAATGCTTACCCATTTGGATTTGATAAGGGTAGGTAGGGGGGTTGGAATACATTGAGGTAAATGTAGAAGAAAGGGGTTGCCTGGGGAAGATAATAGATTTTAGGAAGGGAAGAAAAATAAATCTGCTTTTCCATGGGAAAGTGAATGTAGCTCACCCTATGACACTCAAACCACCCAGGCTCCAGCAGCCAAGTCCAAATGCGGATTTTAAGGACTTTGCTTTCCCGAGTCTTACAGCTTTAGGTCACAGAGAGGTGGCGATGGGTCTCTGGTCATTTCCTTTAGCTATCTTTGCTTTCTTCCTTAGACTCGGAGGGTAGTAGAACAGACGCAATTGTTTGTGCTTTCTCTTTCTGGTGCATCTTTCATGAATTTTTAAGCGGCACACAAATGAACAGAGTTCGCTCCTGCCATGGAAGAAGTGTTAATTGTCTGCCACCGTGTTCTCAGCTTTTCACCAGGTTTCGGCTGGCATAGGTTGAGTTCAGTCAGTGTTCCTCGCCGCCGACAGGTTGTCAATCACGAGTCATTTGCTCAGCATTAATGAACCTGGTGAACCATGCAGTTCATCCCCTGCATGAGTCCTTCCCCCAGCCACCCCCTCCTTGCAGGAGCCAGTGGGGCTCTCAAGTTTCCTGCCCTTCCAGACCAAGCAAAAGAAGTAGCTGAAACAAGGGACTGTCCTTTTCATTTTATTCATATGTGAGTGCCTTGAACAGATTCAAATTACTCATTTATCAATTTATGTTAATTGCTTGTGAGAAGATGCCCTGCTGGTCTTTATAGTTCCCTCAGACACTTTGTAATGATAATTAGACATGCTGCTGTAAGGATTAAGAGTGCCATAGACCAATGATGGCCACAGACAATGGAACCAGTTAATCCTTCAGGGCTTAAAATTACATCCCAACTGGAGACGGAGGAAAAAACATAAGAGCGAAGGAGGATTAAAGAATGAGGCCCAGCTTGAAAACTCTCCTTTCATCAGTTTCTCAATTGCAGATCTGCAGTCGGGTTGCCTGTGGTAAGCTATTGGCAGTCAATTAGGTGAAATAAACTGGGAGGGTGACCTTCATTTCCTTTTAATAGCTTTTTCCTCCCTGAAATGGGGAGCTTCAGTGGATTTTCAGCTTAAATTTTATTCAGGCTGCTTTATTACACTTGACAGCTTAGCTCTGCATAAACAATTTTCTCCTCCTCCCCTTCCCCTCAGATACAGGCTGCGTGCCCCGCCCCCCCCCCCCCAACTTTTAGTATCACATTTTTGACTGTTACTTAGTGGGCTCTCTAATCACATTCAACAAAAAACACAATTACATCTGCATTTGTCTGCTGCCTTCTGTACCCTTTTCTTGTGTAATGAATTGCTTTCTTTCAGAGATCAAATCAAATATTCACTGGTACTTTTGCATGTACTGTGTTTGATTAGACCGGGCTAATAGTGAATTGTACTTGTAGCTTGAGCAGGGAAATTTTTTTTTTAAACCCAAATGAATGAGGATGGAAAAGCCTGTTTTGATTAAAGTATGCAAAGCAGGTCTCAAGTACCCAGTTTAAACTTTGTGGAATACGTCGGTTTTCTGATAGGCCCTACATTTTTACATATAATGTCTTGATGGTATTAACTCTTAAATCCTCAGAGTTCCTGTCCAGCCCTTGTGAATTTCTTCTGTGATTCATAGCTTCTCTGACCTCCCATTTAGAAAGGAAGATGCTGTACTTATATTTTATGGGGAATGCTCGTGGTTAGTTGCATCAGAAAATAATTACAGCGGGCTACTTTTGTAGGAGGTTAGGGGAGTTGCTGATGATGCATATGGCCTTAGTCCAGGATGTATTTTGAGAATATAAAGGCAGGGGAGCTCTGATAAGGTGGCAACTGTAACCTGAATAGTGGGGACTGGACCCAGTGCAAGCCCTTGGCCTGATTTTGGCGTACCGGCAGATGCAGTTTTCCACAAGTTTAGTTTTGGGGTAGCTTATTAATTAATGTCTCTTTTAAAGTTTGTAGTGATCCATAATTATCCTGCGCCATAAGTTTCATGCTCTGGCATATGCTTGATTTTTGCTTGAAAGGACTTGTGTGCATCCTGGAAAATCGAAGTAGCATAAAATTGGGTTGACAATTCAGTGGACCTTTGCACCCCTTCATTGACCATGCAGTGTGTCAAACCTGTCTCCCCAGAGGGGAGGAGGTACTGAGAGGCTGTCTGTTCCTGTACACAGCAGCTGCTCGAGGAGTAAATGCAACCGGGTTTGATAGCAGCTGTCAGTATTGTTCAGGGACCAACTTAGGGTAAAGAACAATGGGAGAGACCGTGCTTGGAGTCTGCATCGACTTTCAGACTAAGAAAAGAAATAGTAATTTAACTTAACGGGTTAGACATCTATTACAAGTGTGAAAGATCATGAAAGAGTACCCTTTAAAATGCAAATGAGCCGAAACATTCTCATTCCCTTTAAGGTGCAATCAAGGGGCTTATGGCTTGCTTGATAGGGCTAAAGACCTTTCTCTTTCAGCAAACCTGGAAAAAAGTTAAAAGCTTCTCAAGGACACCCAGCTTCTAGGTAAGCTCAAATTGTGTCTTGGGCCCATGAATGCTCTTTTCCGAGGAGGATGGTTATGTTTTTCTGCCCTTGCTGAGCAATTTAATGTTGCCCATTTCATACCAGCATCGAAAATTTAGTTCTCACAGCACACAGAAAATACTGAGTTGTAAGTCTTTTCTACCACAGCATCTGCCTTTAAGTGGAATGCTGTGGATCCTTAGTATTTAGGAAAGGTACCTACAGAAGTTCTTAGATACTTAGTAAATGGAGGAACTGTAGACCTACTCTGGTTAAACTTTTTAAAAACAATAGCTGTGATTGATAGACAGATCTGATGACTAGCAGAATAATAACCCCAACTCCCCTTTTTAAGTCTTGATTTTTACAAGCTTTTTGTGCAACTAAATATGTTCTTATGACAATAACAAGAATATTTAATAATGCGGAGACCGCAATAACCCCAGGGTTTATTTGGTTTGGCTAAACTCCCTTGTGCTTTAGGAAAAGTTATGTTGTGGGAAGTGAACTTAGTCATTTGGTAACTTGAGTTTTTAAATCTGATTAGCCTTCATACTTTAAAAAATGGAGCAATTTCAGTAGAAATCAGTGTGAACGTACGAACTTAAGATGGGGGTTTAGAGATGGCAACCTTGTTTTCTTTTCTCACTTATTTACAGGTAATCTGATATGTTCATGGTGAATGGAGCTTCTGTCCAGCACCCTTATGGGGACCCAGTTACTGATCTGATTTATGTACTCCTGCTTCTTACCCAAGATTATAGTTCTCTGTGAATTTTAAAATTTTAGTATGAAATAAAAGCAGTCACGGGTATTGGTGATGTCTGACAAGCTATGTTCTTGTGTAGAGGGGGTGGCTTGGTATATGGATAACTGTTGTGTCGATGACAGGAGTCTTTCAGGCCATCTGTACTTGAGAGATTGAGTTGTAGACCCTCAAGGACTCTCCACGGTTGCATGAGATGATTGGTTTTAGTATTAGGAAAGTGTTGGATTATTTTTCTCCTTTGACTGTAGCTGTCGGCCATCTATGGGATTGTAGTGTGTGAAGTTTAAGAAGATGAGGTTAGCCTCTTAGTCTTATGAGTAAGCAGATAATCCCGGGAAAGCCCATCAATAACTGGGCTGTATGTTTATCAAACAAATCCACCGTAGGAGGATAATGCCTGTCCTCCTACCAAGAGCGGAAGATGACCGGACAAAAACAAACAGCACACGGTCTTCCACCGCTACTTGCATATACCTAGTGGCCAAACCTCCAACTTAAATTCTCATGAGCCTTCTTTTTGTTACGTTTCCAAAGAGGAGGGAGCAGTGTTGTGCATCCTGTGTCTCCTGTGGTTCAGTGTGTTACTGAGAGTCCAACTGAGTGCCTCTCTGGGAAAAGCAAGGCTTGGCCTCAGTGTCTGGCCTCTTTTCGGTAGGCAAGAAGCTTAAGGTTACTAAAAAAGTTGCTGATGCATTGTTTACTTTTCAAAACTAAACTTGTATTGAGTTTTATGTCAACACATATTTTCATGAGGTTTTTACTTGTGACATTGGAAGAAGAAAGCATTAGAGTATTTCTCCTCTCAATTTTCAGAGAGACTCACTTAAGTCCAAGAGTGAAAGGTAGAGTGTCCCACTTTAAGAGTTGCTATGTAATTTTAATTGAGTTATACCTTATGTACCATAAAGTTCACCTTTTCTTTTTTTTTTAAAGTTCACCTTTTCAAGGTGTATAGTTTGGTGTATAGAAGTGAACAGAGTTGTGTGGCCATCACCACTGTCTTAATTCTAGAATATCTTCATCACTCCAGAAGGAATTAGGGGACATTTCCTTCCCCATTCCACCCTGTCCTTCAGCCCTGACACCTTACTCTACTTTGTTTCTGTGGATTGGCCTTTTCTGGACTTTGTATATAAAGGGAGCCAGACAGTGAGTAGCACCTAGCTAGTGTTTGGTGGCTTGTGCTTAGAGTAATGTTTTCAAGGGCTATCTATATTGTAGCATGTTTCTTACCCATCTATATTGTAGCATGTTTGAGTACTTCATTAATTTTTTTCTTTAACTTGCTGTTCCTTATGAAGATGATCTGATTAACAGAGGACATTCGTAAAGATATAACACACCGTTTATGTATTCGTCAGTTGGTGGACATTGGGTTGTTTCTACTTTTTGACCCTTATGAAGAATGCTGCTAAGATAATTTATGACCACAGTTTTGTATGGTTGGATATTTTTAACTCCCTTGGGTATATATGTAGAAGTGCAACTGGTAGGGCTTAAGGTAACTCACTCTCTTTTGAATATAATAAAGACTCTTCTAAAGTGGCTTTCCCCCTTCC